ACAAGTCACTCAGTTTACAAGGGAATATAAATAGGATTTAGAAAACTCTAACAACAGCTATTCATGAAACCAAGCTCAACATTCGAAGAAAATGATAAATACAATGACTCAGCAATGAGTCAGAGGCCCACAACAGTACTAGGCTTCAACGAGACCCCAATTAGCTTTCTGCTGACCCAGCCAACAAGGGTCCTTGTTTGTATGCGAAGTATGAACCATACTCAACATTAATGTCACGACTTCATATATGGTTGTAAGCTTTCAGGTATTAATTGGTTGTATATAACTTAATAGATGATAACTTCTTATAAGCTTTCGCCTTTCAGGTATGTTAAAAAGTGTACAATGGGTCTTTTGTTGCATTGACAAATAATGAGACCCTTTGAAATCTTTCATTAACTTCTTTCTTTTACAATTCATATCCAAACTCACATGCACCAACATTTTTAAATGGAGTACCTCCATTGAGCTAGATGCTTTCTCATAGACCTTATCAAAATTTTAAATGAGTGAATTTAATTTTGTTTTAATTCAAATGACTTTGCTGAAGCTAAATTTATAGATGTGGTACCATAAACCTGTGCTGTTGATGCTTTGAAGCATGGATGTTTTGCTGGAGATTTGTTGATTTTTGTGGAACTTTATTATTTATTCTCTGATACAAGCTATTCGCCTGAATAACCCCAAAATAAAGGGGGACATTTCCTTTCCTCAAGGCTGAAACGTCCTGACTCTATTTAACAATGGGATTTGAATTGAATTACCTACTCCATTGGGATTTGAACCCAAGCTATCTATGTCATGAGCAGAGCTCATGATTGTGGTGCTCATGATTGTGGTGCTGAGGTCCTTTTGGTCTTCAAATTATGGAATTTTGTTGAAACATATTGTTAATATTTCATCCGGCTAACATTTCCATGCAGATTCCGCACTGGATTCATTTTCTGGTGAACTTAGACTGTCCAATTGCACTGCAAGCAGTTTACAGGAGAGGAAAATGGTAGTAAAACATTTTCCTGAAGGTAGTGTAGGTCCAACGCAGCAATTCCCCAGAGCCTATATCAGTGTGTTCATCTGAGTTTTCTGATGTTCCAGTTATGGAAGTTGATTCAGCTGTCCAAGATGAAGAAGGTCTCAACCTTGGCAGTAATAGGTTTGTTTTCTACAGGCTAGCTGGTACAAATAAGTTGAGACTTGGGACCTTTCAGTTTTCTGTTGCTGATAAGCCTGAAACCTTTCAGTTTCCTGTTTTGATATAAGGATTCTAGTAATGTAAAACTGACACTTTCAAAATGTCACAATCTATCCCAAACAGATCACCTAAGTGTTGTATGGGCGAGAACAGCTTGTCAAATATGGTGGCCTGCTGAGGTATTTATGGTTATATCTGTTATGTTGCTTGTTTCTGCCACTATGTAAATGTTTTTGATTGTAAATAGATCAATTTGACTTGTTAATGATATGTTGACAAAGATCTGGAGGTTATATCTTATACCAGATAATGTAATGCTTACCAAGTTACCTCGTCTTCTGACCTGTCACACTCTTTTCTCTTTATATTTTGGACAAAAGGATTCGATATACTTATCTTGCAAACAGGAGAACTTGCTCTCCCAATGGCTTATGGTATAATCAATTGAAGTAGTTATATATCAGTTTAAGTCTCATCATTTTCTTAATATAATGCAACTCAAATACTTGCTGATATGATTACAAGAAAAAGTATAGCATCTGATACTCTGATGACCTACCTGTCTGTCAACCATGATAAGCTTCCCTTTGTGATTCTCTGTTGCAGGTTCTACCTTGTTCCTCTCTCTTCTCCCGTGGAAGTTTAGCAAGGCAAGTTCTTTGGTTGGAAATATAGACGTTAAACTTAATGTTTTGAATCCATTCCTCTGCGCTAGAAAATTTTAGTCCATAAATTTGCAAGAATTCAGATTGAGTTTCTGTGTTATCACATATACAAAATGTTGCTCAACGTTTTGACATTTTTGTGTCAAAACTTTTCTCACGTTGTTAGATTAGGACAGTGATGAGGAAATACAATTCCTTGAATACTATCATAGTTAATGTTGCTGTAAGTGTAACTCTTACTACAAATTTCTCATACTTTTGATGTTGCATTGAGGTATATATTTACTTCTTTTGGGGAGAGCTGATATTTCTTACATTTGTTTTCGTACTTCATAAATGATTCATCCATATTAAATGAATTTTTTTTCCAGATTATGGAAGAAAGATCAACATTATCTGACCCAACCTGTGATGGACATGTTTTAGTGCAGTTTTATGGAAATCATTCCAGGTATTAAATTTTGTTTTGGCAGCATATCTTTACCTCTATGGGAGTTTCCTGGATTTTCCTTACCTGTCTATTGTTATGCAATATTACTTTGTGGATTCACAGTGCTTGGATTGATTCAATGACAGATATTTCTCCATTTGAGGATGTAAGTGTAATCCTTGTATTCGACTATGCTTTCTCACATATAAGTTCATGTTCTGAATTCCCTGTTTGTATTTGCATTTTGATAACAATTGATTGCATTTTCTTTTCTGTTGAGAGGTGGGTTGTTGCCTTGTTGGTGAATTGGGAGGTTTTCTGCACAAAGTTCTGTTAGTCTAAGCAGGGTGCAGATTTCAACAATTATAAAGGATAGTTATACAATTATCTGCTTGAATTATATATCACCAATATCTTATTTTTATGCATATTTTTTTGCAGTCTTTTGAAGAAAGGAGCACTAACCCTTCTAAAGATTTTCATGAGGCTCTAAAAGTAGCATGTTTTAATCTAAAGCAGACCTATACTATTTTTGACTCCAGTATATCTTGCAATTTCATGCAGCAGAATCCTGTATTTCATTTATCTACTTTTATTCTTCCTTGAGATGATATTTCATTTTTCTTCTCATTTGGTATGATATCAGGCCTTACAGAGGAAAGAACAACTTAGTTCTTGTAGAAAGGTGAGTTCTGATAGGTCTGCCAACTGCTGTCAGCAAAATCATTCATCTGGTATGTTCTTGATTTCTACTCTGAATCATGTTTTAGACATTAAAGTACAAAGATTAGAATAAGAAATTAATTATATTACTGAGTCTTTCTTCTGCTTAAACACATTCAGTACGTAAGTTTAGTCAAATCAATTTCATTTAGTGAATGAATGGATTTACTATTTTAATCAGCACTAATGTGCTCCATTCTTGCTTGTGCAATGAAAACATCTTTTGCTAGGGATGATCTATTGATTCGATTTTCTTTAGTCAATTTAGTTAATCAGTGAATCCAAATTTTTCTATATCATGTAAAATATTATAAGCCACTACATGAAATATCTTCTTATTGGACGACTTTTTCATAAAAGACATCGTTGGATTTTGAAAGTTCATATCATCTAAATCATATATACCTATATCATTCCATGTCTTATGAGATAATCTTCCTTTTTCAAAATTGAATCCTTGTAAGTTGTGCATTTGTCAGCCTCAATAATGCAACTGTTTAGGATTCTGTTGTCTCATACCCTCGAGTGCTATGATTTATTCGTTTTGTTTTATTAATGATTTATAGTTTGAATAGATAAATGGAATTCATGTACCTCAAGTGCTATAATGGATGATTTTCTGGAGAGAAGAAAGGGCAAAAGAGAACGTTAACGCAAAGTTCATTTTGATGTGAGTTGCTGACTCAAAACTTGTGGCATAATCGCTCTCAGAATATTTGTCAGGTACATTAAATAATGAAATTATTTTGAAGTGACATTTCCACTCAAATCAGAAAGAAAAGTTCGTCGGTTAAAAATAATGCGGTACCTTGGCCTTATAGGTCCCGTTGGCTCTCCATTTTGACAATGATTGAATGTATATGTTGAATGTTCACAGCCTCACAGTTCTAGTTGGTTCTTCTGTTTTTACCTTAACATATGTATACATTATTATCAGGATCACCTTTATCCTAGTTGGGGTGTTACCATAATATATGTATATTTCAAATATTTGCTTCTACTTCTTGTCATTATTTAAATCACTTTTTCAGTAGTATTTGGTCTGATTCATTTCATAACATGTAAAATTATATGTCAATTTGAATGAATCGGATTATTTTTCCAAAAAAGATACGTTTAATAGCAAAAGTAACTGATGTGCCTCTTCCCAACCCCATAAAGTTTTCAAAGGGAAATTATGTTAACAATAAAAAGTTAGTGATGCAAATCAAATATTTATATTGCCGGCGGCATGTTAACTTGATGAATTAGTTTTAATGTCTTCAAAGAATCATTCAAATATTTCTTTTCAGTATGAATCACGAGGATTAATATGACATTGTAACATGCATTTGATACCTTCTTATATAGGAGGATCTGTCAGCTAGCCTAGCAACCAAGAAAGATTTAAAAAGAAGGGAAAATATGATGAGACAAGTTCATATATAAAAATCAGTAGAAAGAGCCAAGAGTATAATTAACTTTGAAGCAAGAGTAGTTTTGTCACTTTATAAAATTTGAATCTTGTGTTAGGATCTTTGATTCCTTACAAGTAAAGGAGCATGCTCTGTCCAAAACCCAGCAAATGATGTGTTAGGAAAAGCATTCACCCACAAGTTTCGGCGGAATACTTTTTATAAATTGACATAAAATTTATTCACTAAACGCATTAGTTTTTTTAAATATATATTACATATTATTCTCTTAATACTACTCTATTGATTAATTTTAAACGTTTCGTATTCCTCACGCACAAACTTGGCATCAATCCTTTATTCTTTGCTTCCCTTTTACGTTCTTACCAAGTTTGCTTTCCGGAATAGTCTTTCAATCATCTATATTTTTTTATAAGAACATTTATCTTTTTTTCACTGTTAGTGTTCTTTTTTTATATGTATATAATTTGTCTTAAACGACATTCAAATTTTTTTAAACAGATTTATTTAAAGACTACAACTTTTAAGGCCCCTAAAGGCTTATTCAGAGAATCCAACTTTTGAGGCGCTCTCAACACCATTAAACCCACAAAGGGTGCTTATATGATGGTGTCTCTCATGAATCACTGATAAACAAGTGGAAGAAGAAGTGGATTCATTGCAGCTTATCCATCTCCAACACTCTAACACACAAATGGGTTCCCAAGCACCCCAACTACACTTTGTCTTGTTTCCTTTAATGTCCCAAGGCCACATGATCCCCATGATGGACATAGCAAGAATATTGGCACAACAAGGTGTTATTGTCACTGTAATGACCACACCCCATAATGCATCACGTTTCACAGCATCTTTTGCTCGTTCCATCAAGTCTGGTTCTCAAATCAGATTAGTTGAACTCCAATTCCCATACAAAGAAGCTGGATTGCCACATGGGTGTGAGAATCTTGATATGCTACCTTCACTAGGCACTTCCTTGAGTTTCTTCAATGCAGCTAACACTCTTCAGGAACCAGTGGAAAAACTCTTTGAAGAGCTAACACCTCCACCAAGCTGCATAATTTCTGACATGTGTTTGCCATACACAGCCAACATTGCCAACAAATTTAACATCCCAAGAATTTCTTTCCTCGGACAAAGTTGTTTCAGTCTCTTGTGTCTCTACAACTTAGGCATCTACAAAGTTCTTCAGAACATAACCACAGAAAATGAGTACTTTGTTTTGCCTGGTATACCTGACAAGGTTGAGATGACCAAAGCTCAGGTACCAGGACCAGGATCAAGGAGTGAAAACTGGAAAGAGTTTTATGCCAAAACTGCTGCAGCTGAAATGGCTTCTTATGGGGTTGTCATGAATTCCTTTGAAGAGTTGGAGCCAGCATATGCAAGGGGTTACAAGAAGGCAAGAAATGATAAAGTGTGGTGTATTGGTCCTGTTTCACTTAGCAACAAGGATCACTTGGATAAGGTCGAGAGAGGAAACAAGGCCTCAATTGATGAACACTACTGCATGAAGTGGCTTGATTTGCAGAAACCAAGGGCTGTAATCTATGTATGCCTTGGAAGCATGTGCAATCTAACTCCATTGCAGTATATAGAGCTTGGTTTGGCCTTAGAAGCATCAAATAGACCCTTCATTTGGGTTATCAGGGAAGGAAGTCAATTAGAAGCATTGGAGAAGTGGATTAAGGAATATGGATTTGAGGAAAGGACCAAAGATAGAAGCCTTGTGATTCAGGGTTGGGCTCCTCAGGTACTAATACTATCACACCCTGCACTTGGAGGTTTCTTAACACATTGTGGTTGGAACTCAACCTTAGAGGCAATATGTGCTGGTGTGCCAATGACTACATGGCCACTATTTGGGGACCAATTTTTCAATGAGAAAGTGATTGTGCAAATACTAAAAGTAGGTGTAAGGGTTGGGGTGGAGGCTCCTGTAAAATGGGGTGAGGAAGAGAAAACAGGTGTGTTGGTGAAGAAAGAAGATGTTGAGAGAGCAATTGACAAGTTAATGGATGAGACTACAGAAAGTGAAGAAATGAGAAAAAGAGTTAAAGTGCTTGGGGAGATGGCTAAGAAAGCTATAGAAGAAGGAGGATCATCTCACTCTAATGTGACCCTCCTTATCCAAGATATCATGCAACAAACCAAGAGATTTAAATGATTTTTCTCACTTGGCAAAAACAGATTGGTATTCTTTATCTTCATTTCCTTCCCTGGATTTCCCCCCACCAATAAGGTCCATTCCATTCCATTAGAATATGATGAAGCAGAAAATTCTTGGGTACACATGGTGCCTGCTAGGTTTCTCCATGTAGTTTTCATCAAATTATCTACCTAGTTCAGTGCAAAGTAGAGTGGTGCACCATGTGTTCACAAGTATTAAGAAGTGTCACACTGTCACTTTCTCTGTATCTCTTGAATTTATTAAGAAGTTGCACAAATCAGTGAGTATGTGAAGCATAGTATGTTTTATATTGTAATGTACCATTTTTTTTCTTCTTCTAAGACTTGATTCCAGTATTTCCCCAGATTGATTGAATCTCTAATAGAACTCAATGTGATCAGCAGGGTTTGATTAGGAACCCACTAAATGGCATTTTCATTGTCAGAAATCTAAAGGCACGGTTTGAGTATCAAAACATTGCGTACGGTTTTGGCTTGACGTTGCCGCGAAATTGGAAGGAAATTTCCTTACCAACACTAGTCTTGAAAGCAAATTGGACAGCCCAGCTACAATTTAAAATGGGACAAATGGAGTCATATGATTGTTGTTTCTGATCGCTACTAAGAATATTTTTTGTATTGGAATTTTTTTATTAAGTTTGTGGACGGGATGTATATGGAAATAGTGATCAAAGTGTCACTGACTAGTCACTGTTTTTGACAAATTTTTTATCCGCCATGCGAATAGTACTTTTTATCGTGCTGCCACGTGACGTAATTCGCTACGACGGGTAGCGAATTGCGTTCGCCAATGATTTCGTGACACGTAGTCATATTGCATACCAAATTCGCTACCACTAGTAGCGAATTACGTCCAATCAGCTTTCTTCTAAAAATGTGCCACGTGTCACAAAATCATTGTCGAACGTAATTCGCTACAAGTCGTAGAGAATTACGTTGCGTGACACTCTGATAAAAAATATTGTTCGTGTGATACTTGGATAAAAAATTTGCCAAAAAGTGACGCTTTGATCGATGTTCCGTATATGGGCTCTTTTAAGGTATACTTTGGTCTAAATGGATTAAATTTATGTAAAGTTATTTTGAGCCGATCAAACCTATATTTAAAAATTAAAAGATTTCTTCAAAACCTATCAAGAATTAGAATAAATAATATGATATAGATTTTCTTGTAATCTTATAAGTTAGGCCTTTCAAAAGTAAGCATACGACCTAATTTTTAAATAATTATTTATTTATTTTATAAAAAAACTTAGCTTATTATATCTACTAAGTATTTCATATCAAGTTCGGCCTAACGTTGGATGGGCCGTAGGCTATGATGTACGGACACGGACACGGGATACGGGACACGACATGACACGCTGACACGTTAATTCTAAAAAATGTCATATTTCGACACGTTGGGACACGTTTTGATATTAAATAAATTTTTTAATATATATAATATAATTTATATTTAATACATATAAAAGTCCATAATAAGTCATATAAGCAATCAAATATTTAAATTTCATAATATAAATATAAATATAAATAATTTTTCATACTTTGTTAATTTTTCATGTCAAATTTCTTAACAGAAAAAAATTAATTTATAAATTGTTTCTTTTATATTTAGTTAACAAAATAAAATTAAGATTTAAAAAAAAAAATGTGTCCAAACGTGTCTGAACATTCACCGCGTGTTCGAAAAAGTTCACCACGTGTCCCCAAATGTTAACTGCGTGTCAGATGCGTGTCCGAGCGTGTCGGACACGTGTCCGACACACAAATTTTTTTCTAGGAGCGTGTCCGTGCTTTGAAGGCCGTAGGCCAATGATCGGTTGTCTAACTTATTTACATCATTAATAGCAACTAATGGTAATTTTTAGTTTTAGGAAAAATGGGTATACTTTACGGGAATAATATTTTTCCTTTTCTTGCAGATATCTTTTTTTTTTTTATACTCACATAGAAGTGAGTGTGTGCTAATAATTTTTTCTTTCTCGTCTTTCACAATGAGACCCACTCAGTTTTACGTGAGTATAACAAAAAAAAATTAGTTATACGGTAGTAATGGATTTATGACACTTCAATACTTGACTAATGTCATTTTAACAAATTAATATAGGTCTTAACCTATTGTGCTTTTAATTTGTCGTTCTTGGCTAGAATTTGGTTGCAATTTGCAGTTTGTTTGATTGTGTTCTGATTTTTTGTTCTTAAAATTCTTTTGTAGAATAATTATGAAAATAAGTATTTTTTGCGTTTTGAAAATTAAAAGTCAAAACTTAAAACAAAAATAATTCAGATATGTTCTCTAATTTAATTTTAAAAACAATTACAATTTTTAAAACTTTATTTATAAAACAAGCATTATCAAATAGATTTTTTATTTTTTATTTTTTCTGAAAATCAAAAAATTATTTTTTTAGAAACCATATTCAAACAGGGCGTTTTGCCTATCTTCTTGGGCAGGCATTTTCAACTCATTAGCCATTATTCTGCGGCCAAGCCTTGACCACAATCTTCTTTGCACGAAGTCCTTTTCAAGTTTTTGGAGCTTCTTTTTTGTGCTGAAGCAAATAAATTTGGATTGGGCCAGTAGACAAGTAGTGGACTTAGTAAGAGGAATTGGGTCTCCTTTTATATTTTTTAGTAAGAAATTTTTAGAGTAAATATCTTTTTGGTTAGCAAATTTCACAATGCCCTCTTTAGTTCCTAACAAATAAAAAGACCCATCGTGGTACCTAAAAAATTCAAAATGGACTAATTTAGTTAAAATTGTGGTCCCTCACAAATTCAAAAAAGACCCATATTAGTCCTCAAAGGGACTAAAATGGGTTCATTTTAAATTTTTTAGGGACCACGACGGACTTTTTTTTTTGCTATGGACTAAAATGGGCATCGTGAAATTTGCTGAGGACCAAAAAATGTATTTACTCAAATTTTTATTCTTTATTAAATCATCATATTGTTTTCGTATTAAAAAATTAATAGTTTGAAGTTTTTGTATAAGTATTAAGAAATTCATTAGATAAATTTAATTATAAAAATACAAGTAACTGAATTGAATTAAATTACTCTTACTAAAATACTTAAATTTATTGTCATTTTATTTAATGGAGAAAACAAGAGACAATAGTAAAGTAAACAAATTAATATCTTGATGATTTTCTAAAACAATAAATAAGATGGAATAAAATTATTATACAAAACGAAAAATATTTTTAAATTAATATTTTATTTTGTACTTAATTACCCAAAGATTAAAAAACGAATAATAAATAACCTTATATAAAGAAAAATGTAACTTCATTTGAGTAAATTACATTTTATTAAAATATTCAAAATATTATCACTTTATTAATGCTTTAATTCCTTTTTGTAAAAATATGAAGAGATAAGAATAAAAGTTGGAAAAAAATAATAAAACTTTCTTATGTTTTTAAAATAGCAGATAATTTAAAATAGAATAAATTTTATAAAGAGAAAATATGTTGTAATGGAAACAATGAATATTTAAAATAAGTATAAAATTTTAAAATTTAAAGATATTAAATGCTTTTATTTTTCAATTAATATATTTTCTTAATTAGAATAAATTTTCTAAAGCGGCAATATGTTGTAATGGAAAGATTGAATATTTAGAAGAGGTATAAAATTTTGTTTACCAAAAACAATAAATTTTAAAATATTAAATGCTTTAATTTTTCATTTAATACTATTTTCTTTAAATAGAATAAATTTTATAAAGAGAAAATATATTGTAATGGAAACAATGAATATTTAAAATAAGCATAAAATTTTAAAATTTAAAGATATTAAATGCGTTTATTTTTCATTTAATATATTTTTTAAAATAGAATAAATTTTCTAAAGCGACAATGTTGTAATGGAAAGATTGAAGATTTAAAAGAAGTATAAAATTTTGTTTACCAAAAAAAATTATAAAATTATAAAATATTAAATGCTTTAATTTTTCATTGACTACTATTTTCTTAAAATAGAATAAATTTTCTAAAGCGATAATATGTTGTAATGGAAAGATTGAATATTTAAATTAAGTATAATTTTTTTAAAATTTGAAGATATTAAATTCTTTTATTTTTCATTTAATACTATTTGTTTAAAATTTAACTCTTTAATATATATTTTATATATGGTACTCGTCAACAAAATTAATGCTATATTTCTTAAATCAATAAGTACTAAATGAAAAATATAATTAAAATTCTTAATGTCTTGGAAAATTGAAAATCGGTCAAAGATTAAAAGATAAGACATTGAATACAGAATAAGGCATTTAATACATTTAAATTCAAAGAGATTTTTTTTTTATTTAAAAAATTCATTAATAAGATTATTAAAGAGGCTTTTATTTCTAACAGGGAAATCTATCAATATTACATGTGATAAAATAAATTAATCACACTAATAAAATGTACATAAATGGTCCACCAAAAAAAATAAAGATACAAGTACATAAATGCTAACTAGTATTCTTTAAGAACGCTAAAGGATTTGCATTAATTTGAAATTTGGAATGGCATGATATGCGGGTACTGTTAAAAAATATATCATTTTATTGGTGAAAAAAAAGAAGCCACATTATTCGTAAATTAACACATGCATTGTATATCTTACAAGAAAAAAAAAAATAAGTGGGATAATTTTTTATTATAAATATTAAATGCAGTTGAAGAAAAACTAATAAATCCTAATATAAATATATACAGATAGGACAATTGGTAAGAATAAATAAAAAATATTATTTACAAAAAAATCTCTCTTAGAATCTATCATTTTCCACCTGCCAGTACTTTATATGAAGAATTGATTGGAATATTGACTCAGATATATTTTTGGTGGTTACATTGACTCAGCTTTAAAAGTATAATAGCTTTAAAATTCTTGTTTTTTTAATTAGAAGAACAAAATTCATGTTTAATTATTCGGAGTTTGGTGCCTAAGGAGTCAAAAACTATTATCTTCTCTCAATTTGAAGTTTCTCTATCAAAATCTTCCACATCAAAGTTGAGGCTTGAAACTTATCTGAATTGTCTCAAATTTTCCAATGGCACCAGAACTTGCAATGGATTCAACACCACTACTATGCAACCTTCACTTTGTGTTCATCCCCTTAATGGCACCAGGTCACATTCTTCCTATGGTGGACATGGCCAAGTTGTTGGCAAGGCGTAATGTGAAGGTGACCATAGTCACTACACCCCTTAATGCTATCAAATTCAGAGCCAGCATTGATAGAGAGATTCAATCTGGTTCACCCATCCAAATTCTACTTGTTAGATTTCCAAATGTTGAGGCTGGAATACCAGATGGATGTGAAAGCTTAGAAACTCTGCCTTCAATGGATCTTAAGGAGAACTTCTTCATTGCTTTAGCTATGTTGGAGCAGCCACTAGAAGAGCTTTTGGAAAAGCTAAAACCTTTTCCAAGTTGCATAATATATGATAAGCATATTCCATGTGTAGCTGATATTGCCATCAAGTTCAAAGTCCCAAGAATAATATTTGATGGTACTAATTGTTTCAATCTCTTGTGCAATCATAACTTGCATGCTTCTAAGGTCTATGAGAATGTTTCTGATTCAGATCAATTTGTTATCCCTGGATTACCAGATAGAATTGAAATGAGAAAATCTCAGTTGCCCGTGATATTCAATCCTGGCACAAACCAGAATTTGAATGCTATACGTGAGAAAATAGCGGTATCTGAAGCAGATTCATATGGGATAGTGGTGAATAGTTTTGAAGAGTTGGAAGCAGAATATGTTAAAGAGTATCAAAGGGTTACAGGATATAAGGTATGGTGTGTTGGCCCTGTATCACTATCAAACAAGGATGAATTGGACAAAGCTCAAAGAGGTAGCAAAAGCTCAATTGATGAAAGCCACTATGTGAAGTGGCTTGATTCATGGCCTTCAAGCTCGGTTATTTATGTGTGTCTTGGTAGCCTTAACCGTGTAACATCTGAGCAATTGATAGAACTTGGTTTAGGATTGGAAGCAACTAAAAGACCATTCATTTGGGTGCTAAGAGGAGCATATAGGAGAGATGAAATGGAAAAGTGGTTGTTAGAATATGGATATGAAGAGAGGGTCAAAGGCAGAGGAATTTTGATCTGGGGTTGGGCACCACAAGTGTTGATATTGTCACATAGAGCTATAGGAGCTTTTTTGACACATTGTGGTTGGAATTCAACACTGGAAGCAATTTGTGCTGGTGTGCCAGTGATAACATTTCCTATGTTTGCTGATCAGTTTTACAATGAGAAGTTTGTTGTACAAGTTATTGAGATTGGCGTGAGTGTGGGAGCTCAAACTGCTGTGCATTTTGGAGATGAAGAGAAGTTTAATGAAGGTGTTCAAGTGAATAGGGACAATGTCAAAGAGGCTATAGAGAAGGTTATGGGTGAAGGTGAAGACAAAGGAAAGAGAAGAGAAAGAGCTAAAAAGTTTGCAGACATGGCAAAGAAAGCAATAGAAGAAGGTGGATCTTCTTACCGCAACATGTCTCTGCTAATTGAAGATATCATCCATGTCACATTGCTACATTATAGCTAAGTCTCAATGGTTACCAAACGCATATGGGTTTTGCGAAAGCATTTGTCTAATGCGTTTGGTATTAAACTTTGCTTCGTTGTTTTACTAGATATTGTTAAGTGTTACATGCTTGTGGTTTTGTTTATTTTTAATAAATGTGGAACCCTTGAGTGTGTTTTTAAGCTTGAAGCTTTAATAGTTTAAGAATTGGATACTCTATTTTCTAGGGCCCATGGTTCAAGTCTCATTGGCCTACGGTGGGGAATGATTTATAGGAACTAGAACGTAATTTGGTTGCAGCTGTAGTAGGTACTATTTTATCTTAAACAGAAAATTTTGGGGAGTTGGACGGAAATATCATAAAAGCATAGGGCAGTATAAAATGATATTTTTTACTAAATATGGTAAGAGATGCATAAGTTTTGGTGCATCTGTAGTACCGTAAAGTTTTTCAAGAAATAGATACTCTCACGTTACAAATAAATGTTAATTTGTTTATAAATAACGGAAAGGTGATCATATTAAATATTAAATGTGACGTGAGAATATCAATAAAACCAGCTATTTGGTAAAAAGCCGATACATACTCTCTTGTTTTTTATGTTTGTATATTGAAAATTATATAACTAAATAGTAATTTATTTTTTCATATAACTCTAACTCAAACAAACATCATGGGTGGTTGAGGTTTATTCTCACATTGATTGACTAAAACATATAATAGGTGTAACACTCCGTTCTAGAACTGGTTTGTTAACATCGCATTATGATATTAAGCGCAGTTACAATCACATTGGCTCAATTAAAAATCCAGATAAATTTTTCCTTTTAAAACGACGCCGAATTTAAAATATCCAATTGCGTGATCATAACCATATTACTTTGCGGAATCAGATAAACCAAGCTTAACATCATGTTCTTATTCCATTTTTAAACCATTAATTTACTTCTTATTTATTTCCCAACTTCTACTATATTGTAGATCTCTTCGTTAGCTACTCGTGGTTTCAAATCGCTCCTCATTTGGAGCTCTGTAGCTCAAGTTATGACAATTTTACTAACTCAGGTGTATGCTGAAGAACTATGCGGGCAGGGCGCTTAAGCGCCCACAGATAGAGGGAATTTACATTTTTTTAGCCACCAAGGGCGCTTAAGCTCGCTCCAGGGCGCTTAAGCGCGCTACCTGGGCGCTTAAGCCCTCATTTTGGGCGCTAAAGCCCCAGGCGGCAGAGAGTTTTTGGTCTTCACAGGTGCATCAGGGCGCTTAAGCCCCCTGAGCAGGCTTAAGCCTCCATTTGCAGGCTTAAGCCCCCTCTTCTGAGCAATTTCCTATACTCATATTTTTCATGTATCTTTCTTGGGGAATCAATCCTACACATTTTACAACCTATTTAACAAGCTTGCGATATCCCTATATCATTGCTTAACTTTCATCCTCTCATCATTGATTTAACAGAAATTGGGCAGCATAACCTTTGTTTTCTCAACATTTCCCAATCTAACAGCTTAGCTCCTAATAGACAATTCAGCTCAACATTTCCAATATTCATCATGCATTCATAACCTTGAAGTAAATAACATTAACACAAGTTTAATTACATAACGGGGAACTTAGCTACAAAAGGCTATGACCATCCCTTGGCTCTCATCAACAAAAGAGATATCCAATGGCATGATCATAGGCTAAGTCCATCAAATATAACGAGATATACATACGTCAATGCTATCAATGATCAATCTTATACATGTAAATCTACAAAATAACATGTATGATCTCAAAACATCATTTTCTTCATGCATGATCTACTGCAAATATGGTCACTTGCCATCAGAGGCTCCTGCAGCTTCCTTACCTGAAAGGGGGTCCCCATAACACGGGGTGAGATATACGAATATATCACAGTAAATCAGAGGTCCTTGGAGATCACTCCACCCTAAGGTTCACTTTCGATGTACACATAATCATAATAGCTTAACACATTCTTATCAGCAAGCATCACATGGACTTCCAAGAGAGATCCACTAAGGGTTGTTTCTCTTAGGCTCTTACCACATGGAGATCCACATAGGGCTGTTTCCAAGGGAAGTCCTTTCCTCAATCTATTCCAAGAGAGATCCTCAAAGGGTTGTTTCTCTTAGGCTCTTACCACATGGAGATCCACCTAGGGTTGTTTCCAAGGGAAGTCCTTTCCTCAATCTAGGAACCTCCAAGAGGGATCCACATAGGGTTGTTCCTCTTAGGCTCTAACCACATGGAGATCCACATAGGGCTGTTTCCAAGGGAAATTCCTACCAATTATCCTCATCATAATACTATCACTCATAACCTCAATCACAATCCTCAACCCTTACCTCATTCATTATTGCTACTTCTATAACCATTCCTCAATTACTCTTAAACAATCAAACATCAACCAATAATCATCAATTAATCATAACATGTATCAATGCATGAATCAATGCATGAGCATACAATTACTATCATAATTACATATCACATCTCATAAACCATTTCTCCTCAATGGAGTATGGTGGAACACTCAATGGGATCAACCCCAAGGTCCAAAGGTTTACCTTGCTCTTGAGCTTTCCTCAATTGCACACAACCCTAAGGGTTGGTCACTCCACTTGGTCCTCTTGCCTCAATCCTATCAACACAAGGAATACAATCAAACAATGCTAACAATGCAAGGAAATCCATAGTTCCAAGCCTAGATTTATCCAAACATCAAAGCATACTAAAATAACACTATAAACTCATTTCTACCGATTAAATGTCATTCCTAGCATTTTTCACAACATACTCTAAGCCTCATTCTTCCTTGAACATAGCCAATCTACTCAACATTTCATAAAAACCCTAAAACACTATTCATTAAACCCTAACCATGAAATTTTTCAAGAAAACAAGGTTCAAGGGTTAGAATCTTACCACCAATGGTCACACAACCAAGGATTGATGGCTCCTCAAGCTTCAATGGAGGTTGAAGCTCTCAAACACCTCAATTTCTCCAATGGGCCGAATTTTTGGAGGAGGATATCCCTCTCCACAATGCTCCCCACTCAAAACTAGACTAGGATTATGAAAGAGGGCGAGATTCTAAGCGATTTAGGCTTTTGAATCACTCAAATCGGTTAAGATTTGCTCTCTCCATGCTTTCCTCTCTCTCTTTCCCTCTCCTTCTTCTTCTTCTCTTCTTTCTTCCTCTTTCTGATGCTCGACGGGTTGCTCGGGGGGAAATGGGTTTCTATTTGCTTTCTAAGTCACTTACTTAGTTAAGTGGCTTACGTGGGTATTGGTTCATCTATCTATTCAACTCCATTAATTACCAAACTTTACCCAAAAGTCTGGAATATTATTCTAGGAATATTTATAATTTTATTTTTATATTTTGGGCACTTTCGGCAGTACCCATTTATACCCCTTAATTTTCACTGAGTACTTTTTAACTCCAAAGTGACTCAGATTCATTTAATTAAGCCTTATACTTAATTTTACTCACTAAAACATGCTGAATTATTTAATTAAAAATTAATCAAAATTAAATGCTTAAGTTTGGAGTATTATAATAGGTAATTGTCAATAAATCTATGGATGGGGGAGCCAAAGGAAAAGCACTTGTTTGGACCAGAAGACCAAAAAGATTCCAATCAAAAATCATTTGTCTTGGAACATCTCAATCAAAAACATCTAGCTATGAGAATTCTTCTTCACAAGTGCTAGTTGATAATGATATTATTGATGAATCAGTCATGCCTTATCTGCACATGCCATCTTATTTGAATGCAGGTCTTCCTAGTCAGAAGACATTTTCAAGTGGAATTATGTGTTTTCTAGCCCATCGTATATCCTTTTTCCAAGTGACCCTTTTTTTTTGTAATGTAACTTTGCTAGGCTTGGAACTTGGGCCCTGTAACGTGGAGATTAATGTTCATTGTGATAGTCAGTTTTGTGATTGATACCTCGTACCCAAGAGCTGCTCTGGAGCACATACCATTCAGTGGGGGCGGAGGAGTAAGAGAGAGAAACAAAAAGTTTATGAGAGAAAGAGAGAGGAAAATTTAATATTTTTTTTAAAAGAAAAGTGTCAAATTTTTAATTGAAACGGTCTTGGTACACTCTAAATTTTTTCCTCGTACCCAAGAAATGAATTTAAACAATTTTATATGCGTGTTTTTTTTATTAATTTGATTTTTCTATGTTTTGTGTGAATGAACTTTCAATACCTCTCCAAGTCTCACCTAACTTTCTTGATTGTGAGTTCGGATACAATGATCATATATTAAAATAAATTTTGTATTAGTAAGTATTTTTTATAAGATGAATTTCTCAAAAAAATTAAAATTAATTAAAAGCTTATATTATAAACATAGTATTTATAAAATTTGATAGTAACTATGATTATTTTACCTTATCAAAAGGTCGTATAAAAACTTACAATAACTCTCAAACAATTGAAAATAACTAATTATGTTTCGATAGTTGAATTGATCAAAGCTATTAATTTTTCAAAAAGACTTCGTTGAGTTAAGAGTGTGTAAACTATTTACCAATATTTTCATAACTGATGTTTAATTTCGTAAAGATAGAGCTTTACGGTTGACGTTCAATTGAATTTTAACTATGGTTTTCCATGCAAATATATTATATAAATGGGGAAGGATTTATTTATATATATATTTTTTTTATAAATTACGCTAAATATGACCGGTCATACATTCTTGATTGAAGTATGACAAGTCATACTTAGTGTGGTTTGTAAGAGTTTATAAACAATAAATATAAGGTTTGTAAATATAACATTTCCCTATATAAATAAATAAAAATCTGAAAGAAAAAATATAATATGCATAAGTTGAGTATACATATAAAATTAGAAGACTAACATAAATGAATTAATTTAATCACGTAAATAAGTGTTAGACCAAAAGTATCATATTAGTACTAATATGATTTTTTAACTAATACTTTAACATTGAATAAGAAAAAAGAGAATTAAAACTTATTAATCTATTCTAGTTGCGCATGGAATAGTGAAAGGGAAAGAGATGAAACTTAAACTTTTAATATATTATAATTTTTTTATTTGTCTCACATTTTACCAATTAAAAAGAAAAATATTGATTTTTTTTTTGTTATAAGTTGATGATTAAATAATTAGTATAATAACAAAAATTTCAACAATAACTCAATCAAAGGGATTAGTTTTTTTAGCTAACCTTAATTATCTCTTTGACATGAGTCGGTTTCCGAGTATTTTCATATATTTTAACTTTTTGAATCAACTATGAGAGTAATTCCGAGTCGAGTCTTAGTTTAAAGCTCGTCATCCCTTCCTAAAGATGCATTTGGTAGAAATCGAACAAAAATTATCTCCATACTTACCCAATCTATATTGCCAATTGAGTTACATCCATAAAGGGACTCATTTAACTCTGGGAATTGTGATTGGTTTATATGATCTACCGATTTCAGACTTTTTATTTTTGGCCAATTTCTTCTAATTCAATTTTTTTAATTTTTTATTTCTTAATTTTTGCAATTGATTCCATCTGATTTTGAAAGCTAAGCTTATTAAATTCATGTATGTTAGCAAACTAGCATAATTAATCTAAACAATTAATTTAAGGTCGGTAATTCAAGAATTTTTACAATTTTAAGAGTTTGAAGGCGAGAAAATACTTATGGAGAGGGACACTTCCAACATTCGAATAAAGATTCATACCAACATATGATTTCTGACAATATTTTAAAAGAACAACTTACATCCATAATCTAATAATTTATGAGAAATATTTTTCTCATTTCGTTGGAGATAATTTTCTTATTTTATACACTCATTGAATTTTGTGCCAGTTTTTTTCATTTCTTTTTTCTTTTGTTTTAAAGTGTGAACCCCACATTTTTATCTCACACACATGAGAGAACTATCTCAAGCAACATGAGATAAGATTAGTAACTTCCATAATTTATTGTGTAAAAAAGGGTTTTAACCCATTGAATCTTGAAATATACTCAGTTATCATGTTAACACATAATTGTGCTCACCGAATCTTATCAACTTTAAATAACTATAAACATAAATTTTGTCATGTTACTTACTATAACAAAAATGCTTTTCAGCTACGAAAAAATCGTGGCTAAATGAATTGTCCGCTATTTGAAGAATCGTGGCTAAAATGGCCGTTGCATTATTTTAGCCATGGTGTTTTTTGCATTTAAGCACGGTCAGAATAAGCATGGTAACATTGAATTAGCCATAGTTTCTCTTATATTATTTAGTTAGATTCGTGGCTAAACCATTTAGATCCATTTTGCCACAAACAAAACCATGGCTAATTTATAAGGAATTTTTTTAAACAAACAAATAATAAAAATTGCATTTGATGCAAGAACAAAAATCCAAATTAAGGGAGGTATAAAATAATAAAGTGGAGTAGACAATTTAACAAAATACTTTTTTTTTCAATTCATATGAGTAAATCATGTTTTCTACATAATTTTTCAAAATACATCCATTTTCCATTTCATATAATCTGATGGAGTTTTTGTTTACCAACAAAAGAAGCTAATCAAGTTTTTCACTTACATCATTTAAGAGAAATAATTTCCAATTAAAGCTAAAACTATAAGTTTTTGATTGTCACAAGCCATCTATAAAAAATATTAATTTCAATTTTTTACTAAACAAAATATGATGACAACACATTTTTTAAATCAATCTTCCAAGAATTGCTATTGTATGCATCCTATTATTTTGAAAGGGCTTATCACAAAATCATACATATATATAAAAAAATTAAATAAGATATGCTAAAATGTCACACAACTTTTCAATGTCAAGAAATTACTACTTTTATTTTTATGTAAGATAACAAACCTTAAAAGCACTAATTCTGTGAAGAGGAAAAACATAAACCTCTTAGCCCACCTATTCAAAAATACAACATGCAATTGTTCAGACATACATGAATCTTATCATAGCTTAGACTAACCTCTTAATCATCTTTTTTGCCTCATAGAAAGATGCTGGTAATTTAGTATAAGAAAAAGCATCATTTAATAGGTCAATGATCATTGAAAATGTTTTATCAGTTGCACCACGGAAGACTTTTATATGATGCAATTGAACATTGAATGACAATTTGCTATATTTTATGCATCCAGAGATCTTGATTTCCATCTAGTATATACCAACTATTTAATTTTTTCTAGCTCTTCTTCACTTGCATCTTCTGTACCCCTAGAGTGGCCACCATTAGTTATATTTGGGGTACTAGAATATTGAATTCCATTATCAACAAAAACACCAAAAACATCATTTAACATATCTTGCATTGGACATTGTCTAACCAGTTCTTCTTGTACTTGGGCTATATATTCAATATTGGATTCAATATATTTTTCCCTATGCATGTACCAAGAAGTGTACTTTTTTAGAAATCCTTTTTGAAGTAAATCACTAAACACTTTAGTTCTATCAAGCATACGATGAAATCCACATGTAATGCAAGGACATAACATCTGTTCGTTTATATATGCATTTGAAAAGGCAAAGTCCAAAAATTGGACTACCACATCTAAGAAGTACTCTTTTGAGTTAATTGGTTTCTCAACCCAACTCTTATAAATCATAATTGGATAAATTTGTTTTCAAACTCAAATTATAAGAATTAGCATTCAACAATAACAGTATTCATGTATAAGTTCACAAACTTACATCTAAACCAAATATCTTAGATATTTTTCGTCTTATAGAAATTTGTCTTGTCTCCTTCTCCCTTTGCAAACTCTACCAAACAAACCACTAAACCTTCTTGAAATCAAACAAGGTAAATGGTACAATCTAAATCATGATAAATCATTAATTAAGCTAATAAAAAAGAATTAAAATTAGAAGCAATAATGTAAAGCATTGCAGTAAATCAATAATTAATTAAGCTAACTAAAAAGTATTAGAATCATGTAATTCATTAATTAAGATAATTAAGCTAATAAATCATTAATTAAGCTAATAATGTAAAGGCCCAAGAGGTCATATAATATGTAGAAGAAGAGCGAGTCCATACATATTCACTACACTATTAATCAATGGGAAAAAATCGTCAGGTCCACATAATCATCATAGACATTTTGACTATGAATTTTAACATATATAATAAGAGCCTGTTTGGATGAGCTTTTTTTTCAGTCAAAGGTTATCTT